TATTAATTATGCAAATTAGGTAATTAATATGTAATGATATTACCCTAAAAACTATCAGGCTTGTGCAGTGTCCTATGACATCTATGTAATAAGTTTTATTGAAATGTGATGATTACTACTTGAGATATCAGTGGAAAAACCAAAAATTGATTGATCATTATGCAAATTAGGTAATTAATATGTAATGATATTACCCTAAAAACTATCAGGCTTGTGCAGTGTCCTATGACATCTATGTAATAAGTTTTATTGAAATGTGATGATTAGTACTTGAGATATCAGTGGAAAAACCAAAAATTGATTGATCATTATGCAAATTAGGTAATTAATATTGCAAAGATTTTTACCCAAAACTAATCAAGTCTGCGCATTAGTTTGAAGCATCTATGTGCCAAGTTTCATCAATATCCAATGAGTGGTTCTTTAGATATCAGTGGAACAGTCATGGAACAGCTACAAATCAGCTAATTATCATGCAAATTAGGTAATTAATATGCATGGATTTTACCAAAACCTAATCAACTCTGCGCATTGGCCCAGAGCATCCATGCCAAAAGTTTCATCAAAAATCAATGCATGGTTCTTGAGAACAGACGGACGGACGGACGGACGGACGGACACACACACACACACACGGGAGTCAAAAATAATCTTTGATTTGGTGATTACCCGGGTTGACACCATGACCTTCAGTAAGAGTAGATTCAGACTCAAATATTTTAGGATTGTTGTCAAACCAATCAATTTTATTATTTCTCTAGGCAATCACAATAATCAGAAGGAGGGAGGTGTGTTCTGCATAAAATACAAAGTGAGAATGTAACTTCAAGTACGTATGGTGCTAACTAATAAAGATTCAGGAAAATTTAAAAGCATTGTAAATTATTGCTGTTTTAAGTGAAACATTTTAAACCAGTGTAAAATACAATGTTTAATAGTACGTGAAATTCGAACTGTGCGAAATGTGGCGGCCACTCCTTTTAGAATAAACTATTGTACTGTGGTGGCCATTTTGAATTGAAAATTTATCAAGATGCATGTATAAGCAATTGAGGTTAATTAGAAAAGAGCCAGACAGGACGGGCGGGCGGGCGGGCGGTCAGGCAGGCAGGCACAGGGAATAGCTTAGCAATATTTTAAAAAAATTCCTGAATCAAAAGAATGTCAACCACTTAAAGCAAGTTTGTGTATTTGAACACAGACCACTTATTTTCAGTGGTTTGAGATTTGAATGACTATACCCTAGCATATACTATTTTATCTTCATTGCACAACACCTATATGTATACCAGGTATTCTAATTTGGGTTGAAGAAAATACCACTGAGACTTACAACTATTTACAATAACAAAAATTGTGTTTCTTGGAAAGATAAAAACACAGACTTCAATGAATATATATAAAAAAAAAAACTTTATGGAAGATACTTTTTGACAATGTAATAGCTTGAAAAAAAAATTTCAGGCTGCACAGAAAAAATTTCATTAAAATTAAAAAATAAATATTTTGTACTCTAATTAAAAAAAAAAAATATGTTCATCATAAATTGACTTTTTTTCTCAAACCTTTTCAGACTAATTTCAGGGCAGTTGGAAAAAGTGCTGTAAACTTGTGTGTGTAGGGGATGTTATGAAAAATTTTACATAAACGCAACTATAATGAATGAAAGTCTGAAGCAAATATCCCATGGTGCATTGCAATTCTGTAAGGAATGTGTACACAGCAAAAAGTACCACAGAAGCACAGTAATAATTAGTCTGGTCCAGTCGTGGCAATTTTATTTTATATGATAATTCCTTTAGGAGAAGTTTGTAGAATCTTCTGCATTGACACAAAATTACCACCACTGGTCTATTTTTCTGCGCACTTTAGAGTTGTCAACACGTTTTTGTGGTGATAAATATGCGAATGTAGCACGACTTGTAAGCTGCCAACCAATAAGAAAGGCAGCTTTTTGTCAAACCTATTCTACGCAACTATAACGCACGCATGGCCTGACACATAGAAACTTTTGCGCAAGTGCATGCCTATTTTCATCTTTTCCATAAAGTCACTGCATATCATGAATAATTAATAGCAATGTATATGGCTACAGAATCGACCAGTCATGGTAATTTTGCGTCAGCTTACGATTTAAGACAATAAATAAAATTGCCATGGCTGGACCAGTCTAAGTAATGATGTAAAGCTTCAATACTATAAATGTATCTATATTTATGATCTACCAGTACATCTAAATATCAATTTGAATATATACTTAAATTTTTCAGGTTGCAATTATCTACACACACAAGAAAAAAATGTTTGTGAGGAATATATATATATTCTCAATTGAAAAATAAAATGGCATGGCATACCATGGCAAACTTCTACATTTAATTTGTTGCCATTGCAGGAGAGGTTTGCAAAATCTAATATAGATTGGGATTAGATTATTAAGAAACTGGGCATTGATATACATGTATATAATAACTATGGCAGCAAAAAATATTTGCTATCCACCAGACACGACATTCATAGTTTAATGAAGATTGTCCTAATCAAGTAGGAGACAATTTTTTTTGTAAATACAACAATGTGACGTAGATCTATGCCCATTGTCTAAACTTGTTTGATAAATATTTGAAAAAGTCTTTTCAAAGGAAAAACCATGTTATTGGCATTTTGCATATCATATTTCATACATTTTAAATAATCAAAGTAACCTCTGGTGACCTTGCCCTTTATTCGATAATATTTCATTATTAGTTTTTTAATATTATGCATTGTCATAATTAATTTTGAATACAAACAAGTTTTAGGATTGAAACTGTAGTGAAAAAGCAGTTTACCAAAAGTGAAGTTATAATTGTGTTTCAATAACAGACAAATTCCTGTGCATTTTGATTTGCAAAAGTTATTTACCCCGACAAAGAAATGTTTTGTTGTAACAACCATTCCATTGTCGCATGAACTGTATGTCAAATACAAAATATAGTTTTGAGTTCACCTTTTTTTTAAAAAAAAATGTGGATGCAACATTTTGCCCATTATGTATTTTTATATTTCAATAACTTGAGTGAACAGATACAATTTTTAATTGGCTTCAAATCTTGATCCAAAGTTTGACATCCAAAGGGTTATTCATAGGAGTACTTACCAATATATTGATTATCTGACAATTTTTTTTTCTGTTAAGTTGTGTATTTTTTTTTGGTACGTTTGCAAATGTGTATTAGACTGTCCAAGAATTCTCTCCTGAGTTGAAACATAGTGTAGTATTCCCATGGGATTTGGGAGATACACACCAATGATATAGATTGCAAGATAAATGATTTACTTCACTGAACACATACAGAAATGCATATTCTCTCTGGGACCAGTGACCTCTGAATAGTGTATCACCAGTAATCAGTCAAGTAGAAACAGCCACATTTTTTTTATCAGATTTTGACTACTACTTTCCCAATTGTTGCATGATATTTTCATACAGGACATCTGACACTAACACTAAGGGAAAAATAAAGATTTTATACAGATGAATTAGGTGACTAAACAGTTTGGAATAGAATTAGTAAAGTTATTGTATACACATTAACAATTACTAACAATGATGACAAGATATTTTCCTAAATATACCTTTCCCTTTCATCTTTGATGACACAGGCAAGGTAAAAATGATAGAAAGGTTCTTGAGAATGATGGAAATAACAGTGTTATTTTAAGCAGGATTATGTACTGATAAATGTACTGAGAGGTATTTGTTCAATGATTGAACTCACCACAGAATGTTACGGGGAGGAAACAGTCACCCATAAGTGTATATAGTAACGTACTTCTTCATTGTAGCATTGAAACCTACATGTGTACAACTACTACTATTCAACACCTGATAAAGATGCCATGGTGGTGGTTAGAAAGTTGTTGGGATGTGGCAATTTACATCTTTCTGGAAAATTCATTCCATGTGATATTTCTTTTTATATGATGGGAAAATTTGACAGCAAGGCAAGTCTAAATTTGATGGATTAGATATCAAACAGTATACAATTGGCACAGGGCTGAATAAATGTTCTTAAAATCATGTATTGTAATATTGAACAAACATCATTGTGAAACTTTGGTACACTTCTCAAATTGCAGCTGCAAATGTTAGATGAACTAGGTAGTCTGTTGAGAGCTAACCCCTTAAGTTGCAACTGATGCATCACTCGCATGAGCATAACTTAGACAAGATGTCATTAAATAATCTTGATCCAAATAGAAGCACTGAAGTCTTAGCTTGGTGTCCTTTTCATAATGGTGCTTACTGATTGGAGGACTACTTGCGTCTGTTTTTTCTCTGATTTCTGATATGACAATGAGGCTTGGCCGGATCAAGTTGACAGACAGAGTCTCTTGGTAAGCTTGATAAGGGCATTACTTTAGTTTGTAAACCAATCGCTTGGTTTTCTGCAACCCAGGAATCTGGTAAACTGGAATTGAAAATAAAAAAGTTATTAAACTATTATTATACTATCATCTTGTTGAAGCAGGAGAGTAGTCACCTGTGCAGGTGCGGGAATTGAGTCCCAAGTGACGATGACACAGCCAGGGATCTGCCCACGCTGGTCGACGACGGTC